CACAAAAACTGAACTTTCAATTTGTGAGATTGTGAACTTTCAAATGAGCTCAAACCCGCTGCAAATCGGTCGGCTTTGAAAATTTGCCTAAACACGCGACGCACGACCGCAACGCACCAGAAATTTCGAATCTCACCGACTCATGGCGTGTTTGGGCTTATATTGAAGTTCTCAGTATGTTGAATTTGAATTTTTACATGGAAAAAAGGAATTCACAAGTTTTGAGCTTCAAAATGAGCCTAAACACGGCTAGAATTGAAATTTCAATTTTCAAAAAGTGGTCCATAAAACGCTTTAACATGTCTTAACCAACACAAAAACGTAATATTTCAATTTGTTTGCTTGTGAGCTTCACAATGACCCCAAACACGCCGCAAATCGGTCACCTCTGATTTTCGCTCAAACACGCGACGCACGACCGCGACGCACCCGAAATTTCGAATCTCGCCGAATCATGGCGTAATCGGGCTTATTTTGAAGCTCTCGGCGTGCTGAATTCAACCTTTGAGATGAAAAACCAAAGTTCGCAAATTCTGATCTTCAAAATAAGCTTAAACATAGCTGTTATTGCCGAATTTTGAAAGTATTAGGTTGGCGGGAAAGTCTTTGTCACTCTGTTTGTTTAATCACTGTTCTCGTATATGGAGGCTGTGTATGATATCGACTCTAGTGAATAACAAGGTGATAAGAACCTTCCATATAAACAAGTCCCCATTTCCTTCCCTGCTCCTCATCTGTAATTGAAACGATATGTTTGTTCCCACTGCTATTCACATCAGACATGTTTTGATTTACCTCTTCCTATCTCACACCACGATGAAGGATTCGGAAACTTTCTTGAAGAATGTGTACAACACACATGCCCCTCACTACAATACTATTCGCAATTGGTTCCATCGTTTCGAAAAAGATGACTTCTCGCTCGATGAAAAGGATCGCTCTGGGAGACCCCGTGAGTTGGATTTGGACAAGCTGAAGCACGCATTGCAATCGGATCCATTTCAATCTAGCCGTGAACTAGCTGTCACATTCGGAGTTCACCATAGCACAGTCCTTGAAGGTTTGAAGTCTCTTGGAATGAGAAAACTTTTTGGTCGATTCATACCTCATCACCTGACTCAAGCCAACCTTGACCGCCGAGTCGACGATTCGATTACTCTTCTCACTCTCCACGCGGGCGATCGATGGCTGGACCGGCTAATAACCGGAGATGAGAAGTGGGTCTTCTACGATAATCACCACAGGAAATCCCAGTGGGTTGGAGAAGGAGAGAGCCCACAGGATGTCCCCAAACCCGACCTTCATCCGAAAAAAGTTATGCTCTCTGTGTGGTGGGGAGTGGACGGCCCCATCTACTGGGAACTTCTGCCCGAGGGCAAAACAATAACTGGAGACCTCTACAATACTCAACTACGAAACCTCAAGAAAGCAGTCGACCGTTCGGCCCTGAAAGACAAGAAAGTGTACTATCAACATGATAACGCTCGCCCACATGTTTAGAAACAAGTGAAGCAGGAGCTGATGGGATATGGATGGAATGTTCTCCCTCACCCCCCGTATTCTCCTGATCTTGCTCCTTCCGACTATTGGTTATTTGGCGATATGACACGTGCCTTCGAAGGAAGAAGCTTCAATTCCCGTGGAGCGGTCGAAGCGGCACTCAAACAATACTTTGCCTCACGCCCGGCTGGATTCTACCGCAATGGAATCCATAAATTGAGGGAACGTTGGAGACATGTTGTTGATAATGATGGACAATATAATTAATTATTCGGTTATTTTTTCTTTGAGAAATAAACTATTGAAAAAGTGACAAAGACTTTCCCGCCAACCTAATAGTTTGGACTCATTTTGAAGCTCTTAACCTGGGCAAATCACTTGATGACATCTCAAAACTATTATATATATTTTTCAGGAAGAAATTCGCTTTTTGATGTGCCCAGAAATGATAGTTTCCATGTTGCTATTTGATCGAATGGAACCGGATGAAGCGATTTCGATTGTTGGCGCACAAGTTTTTAGTTCCTATCAGGGTTACTGTAAGTTGATTGAATTTGGCAACCGGACGTTTTAGAACGGTTCTAAAACGTCACGTTTGCGAAAATCCGAAAAAAAAACATTTTTCTGAAAATTTTCAGCCGGAAAACTGAAATGGAAGATTATGGAACCATTGGATGCCCTCTCAAACAATCCCTTGTATCGTGATGAATTCGGACGTCTTCAAACAGAAGCTCTAGCAATAAATGCCATAAAATTCTTTGGAAGACAATCCAAAAATTTGGAACAACAGCTGGAAGAAAATAATATAAGAAAAGAGCTCATCAAGTGTGGAATTGCATTCTGTGCTCAAAATCAACAATCAGATTACGGTAGTTTTGACAAAATTCCGATTGTTAGTGGATGGTGGGGATGTGGAGCCTACAATGGGAATAAACCATTGAAATGTGAGTTTCTTTCTTTTTTTAAAGGTATAACTTGCTTCGCGATCGGAGACTCCCGATTTTTGTTTGGACCATAAACCGTTCAAAAATGTTCCAATCAACTCAAGACTAGAATTTTCAGATTTGTGAGCTTGTGAGCTTCAAAATAATCCCAAACACGATCGAAATTGGTTAATTTTCATTTTCGCCAAAAACACGCGACGCACGACCGCGACGCACCCGAAATTCCGAATCTCACCGAATCATAGCGTGTTCAGGATCACTTTAAAGCTCTTAGTGTGCTGAACTCAAATATAGCTAAAAACGAGAATTCGTAATTTCTGAGCTTCAGAATGAGCTCAAGCATGCCTATTTTTGTTCCATTTTCGCATCCTAACTCAAGCTTGATTATCTCGATTCCTGTGAGAGATATCAAAAAGTAATCAACTGATAAAATGTTTATCATAATATCACCAACATTTTATTAATTGACACTTTTTCAAAACCTCTTACAGTAACCGAGATAAGTGATCTCAAAAAACTAAACCATAATTTTCAGTCCTCATCCAACTAATGGCTGCTTCAATCGCCGGACGTCCTCTACAGTTCTGTATTTTTGGGGATACGGTAATGGGAAATAAATGTAGACAAATGAAACGCAGACTTGAAATGGACAATGTTACTGTTGGTTGGTTTTTTTTTAAGTTTTGAAAAATTTTGAAATTTAAAATTTTCAGGCCAACTCTACAAATTGCTTCTGGAAATTCCAAAAATTGAAATTTACGACGAGATGCATGTATTCGATTCGTTGGAAGAGATTTGTGCAAAAATTGTAAAAATCGGGGAATTTGAAAACATTTTTTGAGTTTTTTTTTTTGAGAACTTCATTCAAGAGAATTTTAAAGAAATTTAAGAAAAAATTATTAAATAAAAACTATTTGTTCCTCTATTTTTGTTTGATTTTGAAACAGAAAATTTTTTAAACTTTTCTAGGTCACAAATTTTCAGAGCCGAATTTGTTTAGACCATAAAACGTTTCAAAATGTACTAATTGACACAAAAACTAAATTTTCGAACTTGTGAGATGTTCAGCTTCAAAATAAGCCCAAACACGCTGCAAATCGTTGATTTTGATTTTTCGCCTAAACACACGCGACGCACGACCGCGACGCACCCGAAATTTTGAATCTTACCGAATCATGGCGTGTTTGGGCTCATTTTGAAGCTCTAGAAGTGCTGAATCCAATTTTCACACTGAAAATTAACAATTGCAAGTTCTGAGCTTCAAAACGAGCTGAAGCACTAACTTTTTTGGGATTTTCTAGGTCAACTCTTTATTATTTGAACAAATGGTATTTGATCTCTGTGTTACAAGGCAGGTGCAGCCATAGAGAGACACGCAATACAATTTATTGCCCTTTCCCTATAGTGTTACCGATGACGTCACAATGACCGTAGTGCGCAACATGTGCAGACGGTCCTTCTTCACATGACGTAACGGTGGGCGGAGCCTAAGGCCGACGGCCACTAGCCTTCCCCTTCTCCTCCTCTTCATTCCTGTCTCAATGACGACCTTCTGAATGGACGTCTCCGTTTTTTATTGATTTTTACTGAAATTTCTATATTCCTCTATGTATTGTTCTGGACGTATTCTGTTTCTGTTAAAATCAAATTGATGTCTGTAACAATTCCTGTAACCTTCCTTCGCGTCGCCGCCGACCAAGTCACAGGACGAACTTCTCAACTGCCGTTGTCGCTACAGGACCCGGAGCTTCAAAGTCGCCGTCGACAATATTCATGTTGATTCAAGGTGAGTAAAAGGGTGGCAATCGAGAATGATTCCAGTAAACACTCTAATAGAACGCCATTCCTAACTTTAAAATTTGATTTTTTCCGGTCTGAAGCTCAGAACGAACTTGCGAATTTTGATTTTCAATGTGTCGATTTGAATTCAGTACACTGAGAGCCAAAAAATGAGCCGAAACACGCTATGATTCGGTGAGATTCGAAATTTCGGGTGCGTCGCGGTCGTGCGTCGCGTTTTTTGGGCGAAAATTCAAAGTGAACCAATTTGCAGCGTATTTGGGCTCATTTTGGAGCTCACAATCTTGCAAATCCGAAAATTTGGTTTCTGTGTTAATTGTAAAATTTAGAACTGCTTTAAAAAATGAACAAATATTAATAAGAAATATTCATATTTTCAGAAAGCTATCGGATTCAGCCGTATTCTTCTTTGGGATCGGATTCCGATGTATCTGCTAAGGACATTGAATTATGCGTTCCTGCTATCCGTCCTGTAGACCATATGAATAAATATGGTATTTGTCAGAATGTCATAATTGCAGTAATTCATATATTATGCATTATGGAAAAAGTTTTTGAAAGCATAAGAAAAGCAATAACTTTATCGTTTCTCAATGGCGCAGACTCACTTTCGTTTTTGGGAATTCATGGATGCATCAATAAAAAGCAGAAAGATGTCATTGAGATCGTAGAGAATTGCTCGAAATATGTCAATAATATAAGCAACACCAAAGATATAGTGGAACATGTTTTCGAAAACGTAAGTCGCTACTATAATAAAAAATTTGTATTAACATAAAAATAATTGTTTGTTTCAGGCGCTCCCGTCAGATATTTCGGCTTTATTTACACGAGAAGCAAAAATAGAAGAAAAATGCCTGAATTGTAAAAATTCTACTGTTTTCTATAAAAATCGACGAATTGTGTGGCTTTCTCAACCGAATGCTGAACAAGACGATAAAAAGAAGAATATTGTCAAAGCCTTATCAAAAAAATTCCATTCATTCACTCAACTGGCTGATCAATGCAACTACCGTAACCCAGATCAAACCATATGTAGTGGCAAAAAAGCGGAACGAAGTTCAGTGGGATATGGAGAGTTCAAATCGCCGTATTTAGTAGTTGGAAATGAAGACGGAACAAATTGGTCATATAAAGCCAAAGGAAATGATCCAATTGAAATTGATTCATCCCGATTTTTATTGATTGGTGCAATATCAATAGGAAGAACGGCAAAAGATGAAGTGGAAGCGTGGTACAAGTGTCCAGATTCCGGATGGATCTATTCAAATTCAACTACTGGTCAACTACTTTTTAAAATTATCATTATTATGCAATTCGCTATATGTCATATTCTTAATAAATTTTGCTATTTTCGTTTTACCAAAAAACCCAAAAAATTTGATCTTGAGCTCATTTTGAAGCTCAAAACTTGCGAATTCTTTTTTTCAGTGTCACAATTTGAACTCAGCACACCGAGAGCTTTAAAATAAGACCAAACACGCTATGATCCGGTTAGATTCAAAATTTCGGGTGCGTCGCGGTCGTGCGTCGCGTGTTTGAGCGAAAATCAGAGGTGACCGATTTCCGGCGTGTTTGGGGTCATTGTGAAGCTCACAATCTCACAAATTTGAAAATCTGGTTTTCGTGTCAATTAGGCTAACATTTGCAGAATTTCAGACAATTTTCAAAAAATAAAGCGAAAATAGTCATGTTTGAGCTCATTTTAAAGCTCGGAATTTGAGAATTTTGATTTTCAAAGTCAAAAATTGAGTTCAGCACGTTGAGAGCTTTAAAACGAACCCAAACACGCCATGATTCGGTGAGTTTTGAAATTTTGGACGCGTCGCGGTCGTGCGTCGCGTGTTCTGGGTGAATAGCAAAAATCAACCGATTAGCACCGTGTTTGGGCTCGAACAAAAATAGACATGTTTGAGCTCATTTTGAAGCTTAAAATGCGATAATTCTGGTATTTCACACTGAAATTTGAATTCAGTGCACCGAAAGTGTTATATATTTAGAAGATTTATTATAGCCGGTAATTATCAGAGAATATTATAAGAATATGTAGACGGGGACAAGGTTTAGTTAGAAGACAGGGTGACAAGGGGAGTCTCGATTAGCTGAAAAACAAGACAAGAGACAGGAAGTGCACGTGGCAACGAGCCACGTGGCATGAAGGGGGTTACATAGAAACTAGGTCACTGGGTCATGCAATTATTATTATTTATACGACTCTTGTCGTAACAGAAAGCTTTAAATTAAATCCAAACACGTTATGGTTCAATGAGGTTTAAAATTTCGGGTGCGTCGCTGTCGTGCGCCGCGTGTTTCGGGCAAAAATCGAACTTAACCGAGTTGTGTCGTGTTTGGACTTGTTTCAAAGCTCAGAATCTCAGAAATCTGAAAATTTTGTTTTTGTGTCAAATGGGGCCATTTTGAAGAGTTTTATGGTCCAAATAAATATTGCTTTGGGAAATTTGAAACTTCAATTTTAATCATGTTTGGCTTCATTTTTATCGGAATATTAAATATTTTATTTTTCTCGGTACAAAAAAAACAAGAAAAAGGTGTGAGATCGCCAGGAAATTGAAGTTAGGTGCAGCAGCTTATTGATTTCCACGTAACACTCTTCTTCTGAATCTAGCATACATCTCAATAAGTATCGAGTGGTTGTAGAAGCAAACAGAATCCTTCAGCCTGAAAATTTTATTAATCAGAAACCAAGGAACGTCTCCAGAAGACTTCAAAATCAAAATTTCGAAAAAAGAATAGTTCGGGCATCAACTAAGACACACTTCTGACCTATCTGTCAAGTTTCAGTTCAATCGGTTAACTTTGAGTGGGTGATAAGGCGCGCGACATACCTACGCATATACAGAATCTGGTGAATGTTATTAGTAAAATGATGACTCACTTTTCATAACAGTTGAGACATCTCACTATTATGCCAAAAGTCCCCAGAACAAATGCATTGGCTTGCACTTTTCGTGTGCATTCTCGAATTGGCGCGCAGATGGGCACCAGCACATCTTTCTCGAATTTCTCCCAATTTGAGCCGTCCACGCCTACCGAATTCAGCCTATTTCCAAGCATTGAAAGCGGCTTCATCACCAAATTGCACTCTTTTGCAAATTCGAATTCGAGCTGACATCTAGCGTGGCATCTTGCACCGATTGCCAATGTGAGCTCATCGAACTTGTTGTCCTCCGTCGGAATGTTCTTCTCTTGCATATCCAAAGCCATTGATTCAAGTGGAACGTCAGGGCTGTAGCTTTTCATGGCAGTGTGGCCGTTGTAGAGTGCCATGGCCAGCAACTAATCCACACTTTTTTCCGCGATGTTCCAGCTCACATTGACGCATTGCTTGAACCCAGTGATAGGATCCGACTCCCACGAACACGAGATCAAGGTACTAGATTCCGCGGTCCTTCAAGTCTTTCTAGCATGACCACCAGCTGAAATAATATTGATAAAGTTGCTTCTTGGCAAGCAACGCCTCCATCTTCGAACGCCAACGGGACCATGTACCAGATACATTCATCTTGGGCCAACATTCCAATTGATCGAAGCCACGCAGAGTTTTTCTTGATGTGCTGGAGTTCACTTGGACAGCGTCGATTCGGGAAACGGTGCCGAGGATGTTGTGGGCCATCAGTTGCTGCCTTGGCTAGAGGAAATGCCACATTTTCCGAATCTCCTGAAATCAGTCAAAGTTCAGTTTATGTAGTATACATTTTCAGATTTGTGATATTGTGAGCTTTAAAATGAGACCAAACACGGTGCAAATCGGTTAACTTTGATTTTTCGCCCTAAACACACGGCGCACGACCGCGACGCACCCGAAATTTTGAAAATCTCCGATTCAGGGCGTGTTTGGGCTCATTTTGAAGCCTTCAACGTACTGAATTCAAATTTACACATCAAAAATCGGAATTTGCAAAATCTGAGCTTAAAAATGGACAAAAAATCAAGTTTCAAAGTTAGGGATAGTGTTGTGTTTACTGTAACTATTCTTGGTTGACACCCTTTTACTCACCTTAAACATCAATTTGATCGTAACAGAAGCAGAATACGTCCAAAACAATATGGGAATATAGAAATTTCAGTAAAAATCAATAAAAAACGGAGACGTCCATTCAGAAGGTCGTCATTGAGACAGGAATGAAGAGGAGGAGAAGGGGAAGGCTAGTAGTGGCCGTCGGCCTTAGGCTCCGCCCACCGTTACATCATGTGAAGAAGGACCGTCTGCACTTGTTGCGCACTACGGTCATTGTGACGTCATCGGTGACACTATAGGAAAAGGGCAATAAATTGTATTGCGTGTCTCTCTATGGCTGCACCTGCCTTGTAACACAGAGATCAAATACCATTTGTTCTCTTTTCTCTCCGCTTCAAGAGAATATGTTTTTCTGTTTCATCACTCGAAAAAGGAATTTATGTTACATGTTTTTTTACTAAATAGGTTTTACGTAGAATAATAAGGTCGTGTAAAGGATACAGACACATACAACCAGGTGTGAAAAGACGTATGGACACTTTCTTTTGGTTCGAAGTCTCCATCGGCACATCAAGATGTCCGCATCGCTGCCTGGCTCGTAGTTGAAAAACGAACGTCTTCCAAGTCTCAACTGATTATTCTTTGCCTTCTCTACATGCACCTCAATCATTCCGTCCTTCTGTGTTACTCCTGCCCACTTGATCTCAGCTGCTTCCGATGCTCTTAGCATGACATTGAACGATAGAATTGCCAGCAACGCATCTCGATCCCTCTCCGGACTGTCTTCTTTCATTGCCAACATTGCGATCTTCTGCACATCCTCCATAGTCACCTTCACTACTTCTTTCTTTAGCAGGCTTTCCTCTCTTCTTTTTGACTTGATGATGTCTGACACAAAAGACGCTCCGATGGTTGAAATTCCTTCGTTTGCTGTTTGATAGGCAGCCGAGGTCTTCGCCAAAGCACTACTCCCGATTTTCCGAGTTCGGAACGTCCGGCGTCAACGTCTTCTACCACTTCGAGAAGGCAGAGAGGATGGGATGTGCTTGGTGGGTGCCACCTCCAGTGCTGATACCGCACTTGTTGAAAATTGCTAGGAAAAGAAGGCTAAGAGGTGTTTTGGTAGCTCCCTTGTGGCAAAGTCACGCTTCTTATCAGTCCCTCGTAGATAAAACGGGAAGATTCATTAGAGAAATCAAGGACTATATTATCTATGAGAAGAATGATAGTATTTTCATTCCGGGTGAAGGCTCTAGGCATTGCGAAGCCACAAATCCCAAATACTGTAGATCTGAGTTTATTTTGGCGCTAGTTGACTTCTCTTAATAAGCCCCAGGCTTTGTAATTTTTCTACCTTATTATTCCACGTAAAACCTATTTAGTAATAAACATGTAACATAAATTCCTTTTACGAGTGATGAAACAGAAAAACATATTCTCTTGAAGCGGAGAGAAAAGAGAATATTATGTTTTTCGTTGAAGAGCGGAGACACTTTCTGGGCGCCGCGGGTCTCGAAGCGATCATGCCCGAACGGGCATGAAACTCGAATTTCGAAATCATTCTACGTATTTTAACAAGTCACCCAGCACACCCACCCGGGGAAAAGAGATAAAGAGAAAAAGAGAGAAATGAGAGGGAAAAGAGATTAACTATAATTTTCAGAAGGAGCCAAAAGACAGTTCAAACAAACATGTCTATTTTTGTTCAATTTTTTGAAAATTGTCAGGAATTCTGTAAACGTTAATCTGTTTGCCACAAATACAAAATTTTTGGATTTTTCAAATTGTACGCTTTAAAATGAGCCCAAACACGGTGCTAATCGGTTGATTTTTGCTTTTCACCCAGAACACGCGACGCACGACCGCGACGCACCCGAAATTTTGAATCTAACCGGATCATAGCGTGTTTGGTCTTATTTTAAAGCTCTCGGTGTGCTGAGTTCAAATTGTGACACTGAAAAATAGAATTCGCAAGTTTTGAGCTTCAAAATGAGCTCAAGATCAAATTTTTTGGGTTTTTTGGTAGAACGAAAATAGCAAAATTTATTAAGAATATGACATAAAGCGAATTGCATAATAATGATAATTTTAAAAAGAATTAAAACAAATTTCCAAACAGAACGACTACAAAAACTACAAAAGTCGATGGGATTACGGTAGAGCCGGTTGTTGGAAGACGCAGCTCGGGCAATTTGTCAACTTTAAATGTTCCACAATCCTTCGGGAAATTGTCAGGTGGCATGTAGATTTGATTATGGTCACCAACCTGTAGAGAATGGATTACTGAACTTTTTCCAAAGGGATTACTGTACCTTATAAGCGTATCCAGTACCACCCATCAAATGAAGCTCCAAGTGACAGTGAGCAAACCACCAGCCGGGGTTTACAGCACGGAATCTGGAATTGTTTGGAAATTTTGAAAAAAAATTGTTGTTTCAAGAAAAATTTGAAAAGTTTTGAAAATTGAATATTTCCGATACTATTGACTTTTTTCAAGAGATTTTTTTTCAAAATTTGCGTTTTTCCTCTAAAATTCGTGATGAGAATCGGTTAGCAATCAATTTTCGTAACTTTTTTTTTCAATTTTAGCATTTTTCTAGAATAAATTGACTTTCCAAATTTTCAGCTCCGTATTTTCCTGGACCATAACACCCTTCAAAATGTCCCAATTAAGACAAAAACTTAATTTTCAGATTTGTGAGATTCTAAGCTTTTAAATGAGCCCAAACATGGCGCAAATCGGTTAACTTCGATTTTTGCCCAAAACACGCGACGCACGACCGCGACGCACCCGAAATTTTAAACCTCATTGAACCATAGCGTGTTTGAGTTTTTTTTGAAGTTCTCAGTGTGTTGAATGCGAATTTGTGCGTTAAAAATCAAAATTTTCAAGTTCTGAGCTTCAAAATGAACTCAAACATGCCTATTTTCGCTTTATTTCTCTGAAATCAGCTGAAATTTTTCAAGTGTTAACCCAATCAATATGAAATATGAATTTTCAGATTTGTGAGATTGTGAGCTTCAAAATGAGCCCAAACACGCCGCAAATCGGTTAACTTTGATTTTTCGCTCAAAACACGCGACGCAAGACCGCGTCGCAACCGAAATTTCAAAACTCACCAAATCATGCCGTGTATGGGCTCATTTAAAAGCTTTCAGTGTGCTGAATTTAAATTTAAACCATGAAAATAGGAATTCGAAAATTCTGAGCTTAAAAATGAGCTCAAAGATGACTATGTTTGCTCAATTATGAAATTAAAAAAACAGAAATTTTCGAAAAGCTTAGAAAATGCGCTCCACTGAACACAAGAAGTTTGTAGTTTGAATTTTCGCCTAAAATGCCGATTTGGATTAAGAATTAGTTTCTAAAAAGTTCCTAACGAACTTTAATTATTATTGAAACAGTATTAATTTTTAAAACTTCAAGAAGAAAAATTTAGATTTGCAAAAATCGGGAAATAACAGAGATACATCGAAAAAGTCTGAAGTTTTCAAAAATTCAAGTTTTCGTTGAAACAGTATTTTTACAAAAATGTTTTATGTTGAAAACGGAAATCAAAAGTTAGTGAAAAACTGCAAACGAAATGCTCCCACTTTGAGCTCAATTACCTAGGTTACTGTAGGAGATATCAAAAAGCTGTTCATTGATAAAATTTTACTGATAATATGATAAACATTTTATCAGTTTACTACGTTTTGATATCTATTGCAGGAGTCGAGATAATTGAGCTCAAAGTATTAGTAGTGTAAATTTTATGTAAATTCAAAGAAAACGTAGAAATCGCGCTCCACTGAATAGAATAGTTCGACTTTTTAGCTAAGAAAAATATACATTTTGAAATCAGTTCTGCCAGTTTTGAGTTTTTGTTGAAACAGTATTAATTTTTCAAATTTTCAAAAAATGATGCTTTTTGAGCTCGATTATCTCGGTTACTGTAAGAGATATCAAAAAGTTGTCAACTGATAAAATTTTACTGATACATTGATAAACATTTTTTTCAGTTTACAACATTTTTATATCTTTTACGGGAGCCGAAATAATTGAGCTCAAATTAAGAGGCTAAAATTGAGCAAAAATAGTCATGTTTGAGCTCATTTTAAAGCTCGAAACTTGGGAATTCTTATTTTCAATGTCAAAATTCGAATTTAGCGAACCGAGAGCTTCAAAATGAGTCTAAACACGCAATGATTCGATGAGATTAGAAATTTCTGGTGCGACGCGGTCGTTCGTCGCGTGTTTTAGGTGAAAAATCAAAGTTAACTGATTTGCATCGTGTTTAGGCTCATTTTGAAGCTCACAAGTTCACAAATCTTAAAATATAGTTTTTGTGGGAATTTGGACATTTTGAAGCGTTTTAAAGCCCAATTTCTGAAAATGTGGAAATTCAATTTTAGTCGTGTTTAGGCTTATTTTGAAGCGGTTTACATACCTGAATACTTAGTATCAAAATTTAAGAAGACATTTTAGTTTTTATAAATTTTCGATTTTTCTAGCTTGTTGATAGTCGACCGCGGGCGACCGCTGTCGTCCGTCTATAATGCTTACCTGATAGTGATATAACCTCCAACTGGCAATGTGATCGTATCTCTCTTCGTTGGATTCTTCGTATTCATTCCCTCCAATGCACCGCCCAACCACTCCTTCTTCCTCCATTTCTTCCCATTACAACTCACATTTGGACCCGGACAATCGATATCTTGATTCATTTGATCGATAAATCCAGTTTCGTTATAAGTAGGCCATCCCACTTTCATCACATAGAAATGGTGGCCGTGTAGATGGAAGGGATGAGCGTACCCGGTACCCATACCACCTCCTAAGCCCATATTGTAGAGGGTAATTTGGACGATATTGTTGAGTTTATGTTCTAGATTGTAGAAGCAACGGCAGGTGGTGTCCAGGTCGGAAGCGGTGTTGTTGGCGCATTCGGTGTCTTTGCAGGCCTGGAAAAATAAAAATTCTAAACTTCAAAGGGGGCTCAGGATCAAGTTTTCTTGAAAAACGTAATTGGGTATTATAGAAGAACTCAAGGACTACAAAATGATATTAGTTGTGTTACTGTATCTTGTCGACGAACGAAGTTACTGTCTGAGCTACGAGGTCATGGTTTTATATCAGAAACTTCAGATGACTATTGTCGCTAGGGACCTGGCGGGCCCAGGATTATCATTGTTAGGCCAACTAAATTGGATATAATAGAGTAACTCAAGAGCTACAAAATGATTCTAATTGGAATACTGTATCTTTTCTATGAACAAAGTTACAAGCCACAAAGCTATGAACGCGCAAAAGTGCGCTAAAATAGTCATGTTTGAGCTTATTTTAAAGCTCAGAATTCGTCCATTTTGATTTTTGTCGTCAGAATTTGAATTCAGCGCAGTAAGAGCTTCAAAATGAGCCTAAACACGCCATGCTTCGGCGAGATTCAACTTTCGGGCGCGTCGCGGTCGTGCGTCGCGTGTTTTGGGCGAAAACTCAAAGTTGACCGATTTGCAGCATGTTTGGGCTCATTTTGAAGCTTACAAGCTCACAAATTTGAAGATGTTGTTTTTGTATTAATTAGGACAAGTTTGGCTTTGAAAATTTGAAAACTCGACGAGATGATATCGAAAATATTCAACTTCTCAAGGTTTTTAATTTTCCTTGAAACAGTGATTGTCAAAATTTTTCTAAATCCAAATTTCAAAACTTACTGTAGAAATGGAAGACATATCGTCCTGATGATAATATGGAATACCCCATGGGAATTGGAACAAGAATTGGTCCATTTGAGAGTCGTGATGCATGTTGATGAAGTGCTCCTGAAAGTTTTTTAATAAATATTTGATACAAGCAAATTTTTCTTCTACATTTTGCAACAAAAATAAATCTTCTAGCTCAATTTTGAAGCGAGTCACAGTCAAGGACGCGGTCGGCGAGAGGTGGTGAGCGGCGCGCGGGACAGCTGAGGCCTCCTCTCTGTCGCGCGCGCTGCTCCTCACCTCTCGCTGACCGCGCCCTCGGAGCGGATCAGGCTATAACTCGCTTCAAAATTGAGCTAGAAACGTGATTTTTGTTGCGATATATGAAGAAAAAGTTGCTCGTTTAGCCAAAAAGCAAAGTTTGAGGCCCAAACAAAACTGCATTGGAACAACTGTTTAGTAATTCGAAACGCTTACCTCAAATCCTCCATTGAATTCTGTCGCTTGCAAAATCTCTTGTTCGATTTTCTCGGGGAACGGATTTTGTAGATTATCATAGGAGATACAAGTGAAATTCGGTTGGGCGATCCATTTTTGGAATGGGCAGTTTAAGACGGAACACTTTTTGTCGGCAGTGCATTCGGGGTGCATAAGGTTGGCTGGAAAAAGGAAAATTCGTTCTACGAAAAATAGTCTTTCCTAACCTAATGTCTCTTTCTTAAAAATTTTTCATTGTTTAGCACCAAAAATCAAGTTTCTAGCTCAATTTTTGAAGCGAATTATGGGCTAATTTGTTCCGAGGACACTGTCGGCAAGAGGTGGTGAGCGGCGCGCGCGACAGCCAGGAGCTGCTCGCTGTCGCGCGCGCTGATGATCACCTCTCGCCGACCGCGTCCTCGTCCATAACTCGCTTCAAAGTTGAGCTAGAGACTTGATTTTTGTAGCAAAATAAAGGAAAAATTTTGCTCAGTATTGCAAAAACTTAAAATTCAAAAAGTTGAGCTACCAAAGTTTGTAAATTTCTAAAGAAAAAAACAAATGGACTCACGTGCAGTCTTATCCTCTGGCAGATCTTGCTCGTACTCAATGAATCCGAAGCCATAAACAATTGGAATTTCGGTCCAATCAAAGAAATATCGTTGAATAGTTTCCACTTGGATACGGTAGCTCTTTTTAGTGGGCGTGGCCAATCCTTTGATTAGGATATCGTATCGTTCTCCGGGGAAGACAATCAGACGGTCCACCTGAAAATATTTTTTGGATAACATTTTTCAATTTGCCTGAAATTTTCAGATTATACTAAACAAAAATCGAGCTTTATTTTTGTAATTGACAACTTTTTTCTACCTACCGTAGTTTTTGAGATACGCGCATTTAAAAATACCTCTACCGGCTTCCACCTTTAAAGGCGCGTATCTCAAAAATTAAAAGAGCTACAAAAAAGTTGTCAACTACAAAATTGAAGCTCTAGTTTTGTTTGGTATATTCTGAAATTTTCGGACAAATTGAAAAATTCTGAACTGTTTTTTTTATTTCAAAGTTGACCAATTTTCACTGAAAAAAATTTAAAAAGTAATTTTTGACTTTATCAGTAGAAAGTCGTTATGTAAACGTATTAACACACTGTACTCTTTATTTTGCAACAAAAATCATGTTTCTAGCTCTATTTTGAAGCGAGTTATAAGCCAGGACGTGGTCAGCGAGAGGTGATGAACAGAGCGCGTGACAGTGTGGAGGCGCATGTCTGTCGCGCTCGCCGCTCACCACCTCCCGCCGACCGCGCCCTCGGAGCGAATAACGGTCTAACTTGCTTCAAAATTAAGCTAGGAGATTGGATTTTGTTGCAAGATTGCTTGTTCAAACTTTCAATTCCCAACCAACCTGCATTGGAACAACTTCATCTCCATCGGCTGCAACTACGGTCATCGAATGTCCATCGACGTATAACATCAACTCCTGAGCCACACCACCGTTCACAATACGGAATAGGATGTCCTCGTCTAGAAAATTAGTTTTTCAAGACTATGATTTTAAGATTTGGAATTTCTGAAAATGAGAATTGGGTAGCTAACTCTGAGCCAATTTATCTGGGTCCTCGTGAAAGATATGAAAGAATAATCAACTGATAAAATGTTTGTGATATTATGATAAATATTTTATTAGTTGACAACTTTTTGATATCTCTTATGGGAACCGAGATAAATGAACTTCAAGTTGACGATTCGGGAAGCATTCTGATAGAATGACACAACTAACTTTGAACCGCTTTATCTCGGTTACTGTGTGAGATATCAAAACTGTTTTAACTGATAAAATGTTAGTGATATTATGATAAATATTTTATTAGTTGACAATTTTTTGATATCTTTTATGGGAACCGAGATTATTGGGCATGAATTGGGACGGGTTACCAAAAAACGATAGAAAAAGTCAAAGTATTATTTTTCCCATGAAACAGTAATTTTTGGATTTTCATGGTTTTGGACTTTAAAGAAAAAACTCACTAGCTTTAATTTTGAACCTCTCAAGTGGCAAATTGAATGGTTGAGTTTTCACAATCTCATGATCGTACCATCCTTTGTTGTTGAGAAGAATCGCCGAGATTGGTACGGCTCCACCGACGTTTCCTGGAAAATTTCGGGGTTTTAAAGACGCATTTCTCAATATATCTGGTAAAAGCAACCTTTTATTTACATTTTGCAACAAAAATCAAGTTCCTAGCTCAATTTTGAAGCGAGTTATGAGCCGATTTGCTGCGGGGACGCGGTCGGAGAGAGGTGGTGACCGGCGGACGCGACAGTGAGGCGGCGCATGGCTGTCGGGCGCGCCGACCACCTCCTTGGAACGCTTTAAAGGCGCATATCTTCAAAACTACTGTAGCTAGCAGAAAGTTTTCAACTAACGGAATGTGTGAAATTTTATGCTGAGCAATTTTGTAATTAACAAATTTTGAGTAGCTACTCTAGTTTTTTAGATACGGTACTTTGAAGGAGACACTCCCGTTTCTCTGCGTCTCCCTTCAAGTTACCTAACTTTAAAGGCGCATATCTCAAGAACTACTGTAGCTAGCACAGAATTTCCAAGTAACAGAATGTACGGTTTTTAATGCTTTACACTAATTAATTTTTTAATTACCTCCATCAGAAGTTCTGGTCGGCTCCCAACACTTTGTAAAATCATCATATCCATACATCCATTTCATTGTCTTATCCTCCAACTGCATCCACGCCTCTTCTCCGACTTTTGTGGCCCAGTCCTATAATACAAGTGCGCTCTATTGAGAACTGAATCTTACAAATTGAAGAACACAAAGCAATTGCGCTCTATCGAAACTTTCGGAAAATTTCAGAAAATGTGTTACCTGCAACAAGATAAAATACTCTCGACTCGGCACAATACGCTTTCTAGCATCCAGCGTTGGAACGGACGTATCGTTTCCGACAACAATAAATCCTGAAAATTACTGTTTCAAAATTTTTTTGAAAACTTTCGAGTTTCTAGCGAAACTCAATTTCATCGATTAACTGTAACATAGCAACAGTGTCACTTTTCATCCACTTTATCTCGGTTATTGTGATAGATACCGTAAAATAGTCAACTGATAAAATGTTTATCATATTTTAAGAAATGTTTTATCAGTTGGTAGTTTTCTGATATCTTTCATGGAAACCGAGATAATTGAATTCAAAGTTGAACGCGCTAGACGGAACTTGTCAAAAATGAATTATAAGCTAGCCTAGTCATTTTCAGGCTCCTTTTGACACTCTAAACTGTAAGAATTCGAATTCAGCTATGCGTGAGCTTCAAAATGAACTCAAACACAACTGAACTAGCTTATAATTGATTTTCAACAAGTTCCTTCCGACGCGTCGCGTTGCGTTTCTAGACATGTGCGATCTCGTTTGGAAGCTATTGACGTCAAAGAGCAGAATTTTGAAGTATTAAATTTAAATTGCGGCTCAAAACGCTTCAAAACAAGCCTAACGTGGTAGAGTACGCAACGCCGAACCGCGACGCGTCTGATGGAATTTGTCAAACACCAAATTTAAGCTAGCACAGTCATGTTCGGGTTCATTTTGGCGCTCTAAACTAGACGAACTCGAATTCAGCTGTACGTGAGCTTCAAAATGAGCTCAAACACGACTAAGCTAGCTTGAAATTAATTTTTGGCGAATTCTTTCAGATGCGTCGCGGTCGCGTTGCGTACCCAGGCATGTGGAAACTCGTTTTATAGCTTTTTATATCATAAAACTGAATTTCAGATCACAAAGTCAAAATTGGCGCTTTAAGAGCTTCAAAATGAGTTCAAACACAATAAGTGTACGCAACGCGACCGCGACGCGCCCGACGGAACATGTCAAAAATCAATTTTCAGCTAGCAAAGTCGTGTTTAGGTTCATTTCGGAGCTCTAATTAACAAAAATTTGAATTCAACTGTCCTAGAGCTTCAAAATCAGCCTAAACACGACTAGGCTCGCTGAAAATTTATTTTTGACAAATTCCTTCAGACGCGTCGCGCTCGCGTTGCGTGTAGAGGGAATATAGTCGTGTTTGAGCTCATTTTAAAGCTCTAAACTAGGCGAATTTGAATTTTTCTAGTAAACTGACCTCCAGCAATACCATCTCCTCGATCTGTCTGCATATGCCCATGGTACCAATGTGTACCCTTGTTATCGGCAATAAATCGATATTCAAATCGATTTGTTGATTGGATAGGACATTGTTGAACGAATGCGACTCCATCCATGTACCACATTCCGTGCTTATCGATTCCATGCACGTGGATTGTCATAGAATCCATCAGAATCGCGTTGGTGACACGAATCCACACTTCAGACATGTACGGGACAACGATTGGCTCGCCGGGCCTGATAAATTAAATTTTAGGGTACCTTCACACATTTTACTAATTGATAACGTTTTGCTAGCTACAGTAGTTTTTCAGATATTTGCCTTTAAAGTTAATTGAATTGATTTGAAGTAAGGCCGAAAAACGAGAGAGTCTCATTCAAAGTACCGTATCTCAAAAACTACAATAACCACTTTAAAATAGTTAGATACATAGTTACTCAGCTTAACATTTTACACAATTTATTAGTTAACACTTTTGCGCTAGCTACAGTAGTTTATGAGATATGTGCTTTTGAATATTAAGGTTGGCGGGAAAGTCTTTGTCACTCTGTTTGTTTAATCACTGTTCTCGTATATGGAGGCTGTGTATGATATCGACTCTAGTGAATAACAAGGTGGTAAGAACCTTCCATATAAACAAGTCCCCATCTCCTTCCCTGCTCCTCATCTGTAATTGAAACGATATGTTTGTTCCCACTGCTATTCACATCAGACATGTTTTGATTTACCTCTTCCTATCTCACACCACGATGAAGGATTCGGAAACTTTCTTGAAGAATGTGTACAACACACATGCCCCTCACTACAATACTATTCGCAATTGGTTCCATCGTTTCGAAAAAGATGACTTCTCGCTCGATGAAAAGGATCGCTCTGGGAGACCCCGTGAGTTGGATTTGGACAAGCTGAAGCACGCATTGCAATCGGATCCATTTCAATCTAGCCGTGAACTAGCTGTCACATTCGGAGTTCACCATAGCACAGTCCTTGAAGGTTTGAAGTCTCTTGGAATGAGAAAACTTTTTGGTCGATTCATACCTCATCACCTGACTCAAGCCAACCTTGACCGCCGAGTCGACGATTCGATTACTCTTCTCACTCTCCACGCGGGCGATCGATGGCTGGACCGGCTAATAACCGGAGATGAGAAGTGGGTCTTCTACGATAATCACCACAGGAAATCCCAGTGGGTTGGAGAAGGAGAGAGCCCACAGGATGTCCCAAAACCCGACCTTCATCCGAAAAAAGTTATGCTCTCTGTGTGGTGGGGAGTGGACGGCCCCATCTACTGGGAACTTCTGCCCGAGGGCAAAACAATAACTGGAGACCTCTACACTACTCAACTACGAAACCTCAAGAAAGCAGTCGACCGTTCGGCCCTGAAAGACAAGAAAGTGTACTATCAACATGATAACGCTCGCCCACATGTTTCGAAACAAGTGAAGCAGGAGCTGATGGGATATGGATGGAATGTTCTCCCTCACCCCCCGTATTCTCCTGATCTTGCTCCTTCCGACTATTGGTTATTTGGCGATATGACACGTGCCTTCGAAGGAAGAAGCTTCAATTCCCGTGGAGCGGTCGAAGCGGCACTCAAACAATACTTTGCCTCACGCCCGGCTGGATTCTACCGCAATGGAATCCATAAATTGAGGGAACGTTGGAGACATGTTGTTGATAATGATGGACAATATAATTAATTATTCGGTTATTTTTTCTTTGAGAAATAAACTATTGAAAAAGTGACAAAGACTTTCCCGCCAACCTAATAATAGGTAAGATTTGACGGCCTGGCGCTCAAAGAACGAAGGGCTTCCACTTTAAAGACGCATATCTCAAAAACTACTGTAGCTTTCGCAAATTTGTAAACTAACAAAATGTGTAAAACTTTATGCTGAGTAATTTAGTAGTTAGCCGTTTTTATGTGGATACTGTAGTTTTTGAGGTACGTTACTTTCAATAACGTCCTCTCTTCCCAGGCAAAAGGGGTGGGGCCTAATTTTTGGCTATAACTATGGCTAGAAAAGGGGGATCTATATGAAAATTGGGGTACTTATATAAAGGACTACGTGAAATTTGAATATGTTATTGATTTTGAGGTATGAAACCAGAAAAATAGAGAAACATCAGATAGGGGCTACGACTGTTGGAATGTATGAAATAGAAATGTGAACATATTTTTAGTTTCCTTGAAACATAAAATTTTTCAAATGATAGGAAATTTGTTCAAGCATAAGGCTATTAAAATTCCGGGGACATTTCACTGGGATTTTTTAAAAATGAGCTATTTCATATACTCCAACGGCGCAAGATCACAACCGCGTAGTTCTACTAATAGCGTCAGACTATACAAGCTCAATTATCACGGTTATTGTGGAATATATCAAAAATTTGTTAACTGATAAAACATTGAAAATATTATGGTCAACATTTTATCAGTTGGCAGATTTTGATATCTTTTACAGGAGCCGAGATAATTGAGCTCAAAGAGCAGTGACACATTATTTTTCTCGAATTTTTGACAAATTTCATCATTTTCACTCAATTTTCCTTGAAAGTCTACAAAGTCTGTCTGTGTGTCACATTTGTTCTAGAAAACAGTTACTGTCAAAATGATGTTTAATCGGTTTATTTAATTCTAATGAAACAGAAAAAAAAACCATGTTTCCTCCATTTTTGGGAAGACAAAAGGTTAAGCTCACTTATCTCGGCTACTGTAAGTAATATCAAAAATCTGTTAACTGATAAAATGTTGGTGATATTATGATAAATATTTTACTAGTTGACACATTTTTTCTATCTTTTATAGGAACCGAGGTAATTGAGCTCAAAGTGAAGATCCTCCAAAAATGGAGGAAACATGGTTTTTTCTGTTGGATTAGAATCAGCCCATATTTGAGCCCCTATATCTCGGCTCCTATAAAAGATATCAAAAATGTGTCAACTGATAAAATGTAGATGATATTATGATAAACATTTTATCAATTGACCACCTTTAGATTTATTTTACAGGAACACAGATAATTGAGCTTGAAATAAAGATATCGGCTGGCGTTCTTTTCGAGCGATAACGATGATTTTTGCTGAAGTAAACGGGCTAAAAAACTGAAACATGCAATTTTTCAATATTCCTCAACTCACATATCTCCATTAATGGTAATAACTCTTTTGTGTAGTCCGTCAGCCACTAGAACATCCAACATCCTATTTTCATCCGTTGGGTCCGAAATATAATTGAATGAGGAGTTGGCGAAACATGGATTCAACTGGTTTGGGTCTCTTTTCGACCAGGTTTGCTGGAAAATTATTTTTTTACTGTTTCAAAATTGGTTTTTCAGGGAATCATGGAATCTTTTTTTCATTCAAACGGCAATATATATCTATATATATACCGTAAAACCTCTAATAGAACGACACCCGGATCGTCCACTTTGAGCCTATATATCTCATTTTCTGTGAAAGATATCAAAAAGTGGCTAAGTGGTAAAATGTTGCTGATAACCTGATAAACATTTTACTAGTTAACCACTTTTTGATAGGGATCCTCTAGAGTCGACCTGCAGGCATGCAAGCTAT